ACTTTCAAAAATTATATTTACATCAAAATTATTTTCATATTTATAAAACTTATCTTCTTTTTCAAAAATCATAAACCAAGAAAATTAAAACGGCCGACAAGCATTTACCTTAGTAGTTAATATTCAAATTTTGCACTTTATTTTTACTTTTGTATTTTTTATTATAAAATAATTTCAAAAGCTTAGTTAATATTCAAACTTCACACTTCACTACCGCCTCATCAGGTCTAGCAAGATGTTAATGTTACTCAGGCTCATGGGGATCATAATGTGCAACAGCCTACACCTATTCGGCCACCTTTGGAAAAATTCATTGATCGGATGAGTCAATCCTAGGATGATGAACAGGTCTACACATCTAGAAGGAAGAAGAAGAATGGAGACCTACTTGAGCTCAGGTTTCTGATGGATGATACTTTGGTCACTTCGGGTAATGGTATGTTCCTTACCAATTTGTTAGTCGACTCCCTTCTGAGAACTAGAGGCAAAGGACAAAAGTGGGACGTACCTAGCACTTTGCACATTTTGATGGATTTTTGGTTTATTTATCTTTATGTATCTTTGTTTTATTGGGTTTTTGTGTGTGTTGTAACGTGTGAGTTGGGTCTTCTTTTAGGCTCTCTCTTCTTTTAGGCTCTCTCATACTGGGTCTTCTTTTAGGCTCTCTCATACAACCTATCTGTACCATTTCCTCTTTAATATATTAGCCCATGGGTTTTTTTCTAAAAAAAAAAGGAACCAAAAGTAAAGGTTTGAGATTTTTTTTTTTCTTAAAGGATTTCAAAATTTCAAATAGATATATGTCTACTCTACTAGAAATCCCATCAAAATATAACAGAGTTAGAAGAATGAACTTGAAACTTGCAACAAGCGCTTAGCACTTCTCCTCTGCTCTCTAGCACGGTTTCTACTTATTTCTCCTTGCTCTTCAATCCACAAGAATTCTCACACTTTGACATGCAAAGAAACTCACTACTACCATTTTTAGTCTTTTAACCCTCACAATATATTCTCCTATTAATTTCCTATTGCCTTTAATGCCCAACTGCTCAAAAAACATCCAACAACTCTCTACAGAAATTACTTGAAACTGTTCAGTCAGGTCATCGCATTGCAGTTCTAACCAGGTAGCACTATTATTCTGCTTCTCAATGATTGTTCAATTATCGAGATTATGGCGCTTGCTGCAAAAATATAACACTGTGGCGCCAAGCTCTCTAGTTCTTCCTCTTTTCTGGTCATCTTAGCATTGATCTGCCACTAGTCTAGCACTGAGACGCACTAAATCAATGTTGATATGCTGAGCTCTCGAGTTTCACTCCACATAACACCATCAAGCTCTGCTGAGTTGGGTGGCTAGTGTTGTGGTGCTGTACTTGTCACTTTTTTTTATCAATTCCTCCATCTATTTGATTTCCTACCATAAATAGCTCAATTAACACAAAAAACATGTAATATTACTGATATGATCCAGTATGTGTTCACGTAAATGCACGTATCGTTAATTACCATATGGATTTGTGTCTGAAATCATCCCACAAGGATAAAAAGTGAAAAAAATTGAAATCAAGAATAGTATTATGATAGATCCAAATTATATTAAAAAAAATTTAATGTTAAAAAATTTTATATTTTTATTTGTATTGCTAATGATATTTTAAAATGCAAGATACACTTTCTATAGTTTTTTTGTTCATAAAATTAATACAATAAATTAGGTTTAAATAATTTAAGTCATCAATCAAGAACATGACTAGTTTATGGCATCCGTTGATAGATATAAAACACTCATTTTCAAAAACCTTAATTCATATGTCTATGCTCATAAATGATTTAAAAATGAACCTTGTACTTTTCTCTGTTAATTGAGAATTGTCCAAGAAAATATGTCTATTTCTCTAAATCTACATGGTAAAATCCCTTGTGCAACTAAGGACACCTATCAATAGTATGATCACTACTAATCTCTATATAAAAATGGAATTTCACAAATGAATCTTTATAAATTTTAAAATTTAAACCTAATTCTACATTGATTTTATAAACTTTGAATTGCATAGGAAGAAAAGTGTTTATCATATGAGAATACGATAAAATCACACAGACATAATCTAACAAAGTGAGAATAAAAATGTTAAAACAAAGAGATAAAATATAAAAGAGATAATACTCCGTGAATTGACAAGTGCTCTAAGATCTCTAAATTGTAGCATTGCTTCACCAACGTAGATCAACCTCCCACTTAAACTCTCTTACAATGGCCTACCTAATCTAGGGACTCACTCTAAGCACTCACAATATGAAAATATTTTAGTAATATAGCTTCTAGCCTCCCACACACTCTCCAACGCCCTCCTCACACAGAATTCCCTCTGAAAGCCGCTCCCTCCTCCAGGAATTCAAAAATTGCCTTAAATAACTATCATGCCAAGGTTATCACGCTGCGGCCCAACAGTAATGGTGTTGCAACATTGCCTCTAGGTTGTAGTGCTCAAATATAGGATTGCGACATAGGGTGGCTGTGCTCACTTTTGAGTTCCTGACACCACAGCTATCTCTTCTCTGTCTTTTGATCCAATGGGTTGGTCGTTGATAGCGATGCGTGGCTGAATGTGATAGTGTTGCGACGTTAGATCTATCTCATCCACTTGGCTTTGCATGGCTCCATGACTCTGATTCTGGGCACTGTGATACCAAAGCTAGAGTTGTGGCATTGATCACCCAGTGCCTAGGCATTGAGTTCTCAGAAAAGATTTCACTTTGAGGTTATGCCTCGGAGTTGTGCCATTAGTACCTGACATTGTGGCACTTCAATAAACTTTACCATTTTCTTTTTCTCTTTTGTTTTTTTTTTAAATTTTCTTTTAGGGGAAAATTTGCACATAAAAAACACAATTATGAAAAAAAAAATTATAGAAAAATACTAAATAACAACACCTATTTTTATTATTTTTCTTAAGTTTTTCTCACTCAACAAATCCCCAAAACTCAAATATTATTTGTTCTTATATAATCTATACATTTTAGTTTTTATAATTTAGAAAATTGAGTAGCATATTAAGTTAAATTTTATTAAAAATAAATCACCTGATAAGTATAGAAATTAAAGTTCATTTAAACATTCTCCAATCCTTGAGTTTAGATTGAATAATAAAATCATATTTTTTATACAAATCTAATATTCTTCCAATTTAAGTCGTTGGAGTGCTTAAAGTGTATAATTGAGTAAAATTTATTTAATTAATAAGTACTATAAATTAGGAAAAGTCGCCTTAGATGGTTTGGTCACATTAAGCGTCGACCATCTAATGATCTGATTAGGAGATTAGATGTTTTAGATTCGACTTATGTTAAGAAAAACAGAGGTAGACCTACGAAGACTTAAGCTTATTGTATCAAAAATGATCTTAATTCATTAGAACTAAATGAAAATATGGCCCTAAATAGGACGCAATGGAGAAAAAGGATTTATGTAGCCGACCCCACATAGTGGGTTAAAGCTTTGTTGTTGTTGTTGTTGCAATAAGTAATATAAAATTTTAACTTAATCAAATATATAAGCATAATTTAGATTTTCTCAACTTAAATATAATACTCAAAATAATGAGATTTTGAATTATTTAATTGAATGAACATTATAAGTACCAATTTTTTGATATTGAAACTTATTCTCAAGCTTTATCATATTTAAACTCTTCTTTTATATTTTTTTCTTTTGAGCAACATAAGCTTCAATATTTCTTTTAGGATAGCTATTTTGAATAAACCTGGTAATGGTTGTGAATATCAAACCTTCCTTAAATCATTTTTAATTTCTCAATATATATTTTAGTAATATAGTTTAAGTGATACTTATATAACTTTAATTTATATGCAATGATAGGTGTAAGATTTTAATATTACCTAATTAATTAAATTAAATTATAGTCAATTAGGTTTATATGAATTAGGTTCCTTGAATTTTAAAGATCTATTAATTTAAGTAAATCAATTAATATTATTAGATCAATTTAAAATTCAAAAATTTTTTTAAGTGTTTAAAATCCATTTAGTTAGTATACTCCAAGAATTCTTTATAAAGAATAATTCTAACCTAATTATGCTGATTAATTTTCTAATTATAAGAGCTTAAAATATAGTGTGACCATCAATTATGCTTACAAGTTAAATGAATAAAATTTCAGGAGTACATAGCATTTTATAATGGATACCCTGATTTTGACAAAATTATTAATTTCCTCACAAGGCCAGAGTCTCAAGTACAATGAAAGAAGAGGGAAGACAAGCTAGATATTTTCCTAACTCAAGTATAATTGCTGAGGTAAAAGCTTTTCAGGACTTTATTTCTACCAAACCGATGTCCAATTGGAAAAATAATAAGGTCACTAAGGTTATGACAGTTTTAAATTTTGTTATTAAAAAATAATAGGAAAATAAATCAATTTTCTATCCTAAACATGTTAATTAGTAACACTACAGTGAGATTTGGTACCAACTCTACATGCATGCAGAAGTTCTAGGTGAGCCCTCTTGAGGAAAAATTATTTCCTCAATCTGCATTATTGCCCTTATGCAACTAAGAGGATATTTAAGTATAAGATTTTGCTCCCACAGAAAAACTTGACCACATATCCAAAATAACCATGATCTAACATGAGAGGCAATAATTTCAATAAAACTGAATCTACCTCAAGAAAAACTACCTTGAGGTTCTAATTACATATAGGAGGCTCTTAAACAGTCCCTGGCTAGGTATATTCTCCATATTGATGAAGGAAAAAAGTCTGTTTAAAGAGAATAAGGTTATCTATTGTAACTGTTGTGTAATAATAGGAGAATATTAGCGCTGCAGGCTTTCATAGTCATACTGTGTAACTGTGTAAAGAGAGAGAGCATGCAAAAGCCTTATGATAATCATCATAATGATCAGGATAATGAAATTATAATTGTTTTACATCAGAATTCAGCATTATACAAGCAAATTGCCAAAGAAAAATTACCAAAGAACCGATAATGGCGCAAACCAACAGAAATTCCATCTTCAGCAAAACTCTGGTACAAAAGACATAATCTTTCATAGTTGTTTGTAGAGTTTTTATCCTTTTCTTCTGCAAACTTCACTAACAGTACATTATCATCACCCAATACCCTTTGAAGATGAGTCCCTGTGCTTTGAATATATGGTCCCTGACAAAAACCATCCATTTTCTAGTTATAGCATTAAAAAAATGGATAAATACAGGAAACTGAACAAATTTCTATAATGGCAAAATAAAAGGAACCAGACCAATGGAGCGCGAAGCAGCAAAAGTAAGAAATGGTGGACAGATTTTTTTTTTTTATACATGAAGAAAAGAATTCCAATGACAACTATAAATATTATCAGATGCTTGCAAATTGATAGACTACTGATAATTTCAATAAGGAAATGATGAGGACAACATCAAATTTATACTAATCATGTTCCATGATGTTTCTTTTGATTGCTAGCAAATCACAAACAAACTTAATTTAAATAAAGTATGGTTCTCATTGGACTAACCTCTTTAATTAAAAGTAGGGGCATTTACATACATACCACACAATTCTTATATATTTACATATTTAACACCTAAATGTTTCAATTTACAAACATAACACTCAAATATTTAACATCATATCAAAAATACCACTCTTACTTTGCAAAAGTGAAATATACCTTTTCATACATAGGTTTATAACACCAAAGTGTTATAAAGGTAAATATCAATCTTTAGGTGTTAGATATCTAACTACAAAAGAATTGGGTGGCATTCACGCGGGAGTTGTTGTGCACTCAAAACAGTGGAAATAAGGAATTCAGGCGATGCAGGATTTCGTGCATCCCAGAATCAACAGCATCACAATGTTGATTATCGGAAGTGCCGCCAGAGCTTGTCGATTGCATTATATTTCGAAATATTTTTTCCTTTTTGATTTATTTCCTATTTCTTTCTTTATAATTAGGTTATTTCTATTAGAAGACTTTATAAGTTGTATTTTCCTGATTTTTTAAGACTTTTGCTTTGTTTTGATTGTTATGGAGAGTGTAATCTCTGGTATTTACCTAATGAATTGTTGTTTCCTTTTCCTTTCGCAATAATGTGCCTATATGCCCAGGAATAGGTGGTGGATCCTCCTCGACATCTTTATCTTGCCATACATTCGTTCTACTGAAGCCATCCGTCTAAATCGCTGGAATCTGTTGTCTCATAGCAAAGTTTATCGTTTATCTCCATTTTGTTGATCATCTCCATCCAAACGGCACTGATTGGCACTTATCCACATTCAAATGCCGTCAAACTCCCCGATCTCATTCTCTCGCTATTCCACAAATTCCCCTCTAAATCCCCTTCCTAAATACCTTCTATGGGCCCTAGAACGATATCATATGTATCAGAGCCAGCAAACATTAAAGTTTATAGGAATTTGAGTTTATTGACCCTAATTCAAAATTCAAAATTCAAAAAAAAAAAAATTCCCACCATCTCTTAACCATTCCTACCGCAATTCTTAGCCATAGACCCAAAATTTTCAAATCAAAGATTTCCATCTCCATCAAAATTTCACCCCAGCACCTACACCAAAACCTAAGCCTCTGACTAACATTGATTCGCAATCCTACATCTGTCGGAAACCTGACTGACGCAAGAGCATGGGTCACGGTACTACAGCTACTACAGTACCATAGACCTTTTTTTTCTATTTGATTTCTTGTCTTTTCTATCACTTTTCTTGCCCACCTCCCATTCCAATCCTAGACTTTCCTATTATAATATCTTTCCTTTCTATTTTCTTTCATTTCCTATGAATTTTTATTCCTACCTACTGTCTTCTAATACATATGTGTTGTGTTGTTTAGAATTCAGATTTTGATTATTTCTGACTTCAGATTGCAATCTCTAAGGCATTTTTCCTTCTGCGTGATGTATCTGAAGATGAGAAGGTGCTCCGACAATAACTCATCTGAGGTGGCAATCATTCTCTTAAAAAATCGAGTGGTGCTCCGGCTGTATTTCAATCTCGCAAGGATATTTATCTTTACCCAATTCCTCTGCAACCTTTCAACCATCCCCCCTCGCTGCTGCATTCCTCGGACAACCCTCCCCTCAGCTGTCCCGCAGTCCACAACCCTTCTCCTTCGCTGTCCCCTTGCTTCTCAGCTACCTGCTTCACTGTTTTCGATGTCCTCGACCATATGAAAATCATGAAAAAAAGAAGGTAGTTTAAAAATCAAGAATATTGTATAAATATGTATGTCACAAACATGAAATTATAAGTATAATAAAAAACATGGTCAAATGCATATTCATCAATTGTTTATCGTATGTAATCATAGAAATGCCATTTCATAGGTATCATTTTATAGTAATGTTACTTGTAAATGTATAGATCTCAACTATTTTCATATTTTTTTTTATATCAGGGGTCGTCACCCAGATTAAAAGCCATATAAACTATTCATCCCTCAACATAACAATTAACAATAGCTCCATTGATACTAGCGATTCCATAACATTTTGTCAACGCCTAACTCCAACGGTTACCAGAGTTTCGTCCCAGCCTAAATATCAGAAGTCAGGAAAATCACATCCCTACATAGCTTACTTGTGAACACTCATGTAATAGTCTACGCATAACATTTCTTGTGACAATTCTTAGAGCATAATACTTGTAGCATGCATTCATAGGCATTTCCTATGCATAAATGAATCAAAAATGAATATATGCAGTGTATCATATCATAGCATCGCATCATATGTATAGTAAAAGAAATCAACATGCATTCATACATTCACTTGGATGTATTCATTCGTAATATGCAAGAATTTTTAAATACATCAGTATCGAACGTGGAATAACATGAAAACCTATATAAGATTCATTTTCGTAAATTAGCACAATATTATTTCACATGATTTGATGGAGCATCCCTACGACGAGTTCCTACACGTTTATCTCGAGCTCGTCGCATTGCGTTAAATACCTGAGAATCATAAGCATCGAAGGAATCACAAAACCCTAGCTCTTATCTTGATGTAGCCAAAAACAAACCATATTTGCCCAAAATATATCTCAAAAGGGCTTCTCGGCATAAATTTGCCCTTTTGAAACCGCCTAATTCAATTCGAAACCGCCAAATTCAATTTTCTTCCTTCCCATCATCCCAAACATTACAATTCCTCACTGATTTCATGCTAAGTCCCACACGAAAGCTAGCACACCACTTTTGAAGCTTCCGACACAAATTCGACGCCTCCGATAACTACAAGAAAGAAAAAATGCATGAAAATTGAGGAAAACCTCAATATGGAGTGTAAGAAGAAAATGAAAGTCATAAATGACGTGGAGAAGGATTCATACTCACCATAATCGGCCCAGACCCCAAAGCTTTTGCCTATGGCTTCCTTATTGTTGTTCTTGTGCCCAGCTACAGTAACCGAGCGGAGAACCCTTCCAGTTGCATGAAACCCTGCTTCACTGTTTTCGATGTCCTCGACCTTAAGAAAATCATGAAAAAAAACAGGTAGTATAAAAATCAAGAATATTGTATAAATATGTATGTCATAAACATGAAATTATAAGTATAATAAAAAACATGTTCAAATGCATATTCATCAATTTTTTATCGTATGTAATCATAGAAATGTCATTTCATAGGTATCATTTTATAGTAATGTACTTGTAAATGTATAGACCTCAACTATTTTCATATTTTTTTTTATATCATGGGTCGTCACCCAGATTAAAAGCCATATAAACTATTCATCCCTCAACATAACAATTAACAATAGCTCCATTGATACTAGCGATTCCATAACATTTTGTCAACGCCTAACTCCAATGGTTACAAGAGTTTCGTCCCAGCCTAAATATCAAAAGTCAGGAAAATCACATCCCTACATAGCGTACTTGTGAACAGTCTTGTAATAGTCTACGCATAACGTTTCTTGTGACAATTCTTAGAGCATAATACTTGTAGCATGCATTCATAGGCATTTCCTATGCATAAATGAATCAAAAATGAATATATGCAGTGTATCATATCATAGCATCGCATCATATGTATAGTAAAAGAAATCAACATGCATTCATACATTCACTTGGATGTATTCATTCGTAATATGCAAGAATTTTTAAATACATCAGTATCGAACGTGGAATAACATGAAAACCTATATAAGATTCATTTTCGTAAATTAGCACAAGATTATTTCACATGATTTGATGAAGCATCCCTACGACGAGTTGCTACACGTTTGTCTTGCATTAAATACCTTAGAATCATAAGCATCGAAGGAATCACAAAACCCTAGCTCTTATCTTGATGTAGCCAAAAACAAACCTTATTTGCCCAAAATATATCTCAAAAGGGCTTCTCGGCATAAATTTGCCCTTTTGAAACCGCCTAATTCAATTCTCTTCCTTCCCATCATCCCAAACTTTACAATTCCTCACTGATTTCATGCTAGATCCCAGACGGAAGCTAGCACACCACTTTTGACGTTTCAGACACAAATTTGACGCCTCTGATAACTACAAGAAAGAAAAAATGCATGAAAATTAAGGAAAACCTCAATATGGAAGTGTAAGAAAATGATAGTCATAAATGACGTGGAGAAGGATTCATACTCACCATAATCGGCCCAGACCCCAAAGCTTTTGCCTATGGCTTCCTTATCAGCTTCCTTATTTTTGTTCTTGCGCCCAGCTACAGTAACCGAGCGGAGAACCATTCCAGTTGCATGATACAGAGACAAGGATATGGCAAAAATGCGGCACGCAATTGATCCTCCCTTAATTCGTTGTTGTTCGACGAATCAAACCATTACATGCTGACAAAATTGCGTGGGAGTCATTAGCTAATGTGCACATGTGGTAGATTACAGAAATATTGGGATTAATTAATTTAATTTAAGTTAATTAAGCTCATAATTTTAAAATTTTATATCTCCCAATTGGTCCATAATAAATATAGTGTTGAGGGGTGTGAAATTTGGGATAATTTTAAGATTTGTACAACATTACCTTGTGTCTCAAAATTTGAGTGTTACACTTTTGTTGTCCTACCGCCGTGCCGCCAGCTTACATCACCGCCGCAGCCCCACAAGCCATTTCCCTTGCTATCATATCACTTTCCAACCATCCCATGCTTGTTTCCACCCTCG